GTGTGTGTGTGTGTGTGTGTGTGTGTGTGTGTGTGTGTGTGTGTGTGTGTGTGTGTGTGCGCAAGTACCTGTGGAGACAAAGCTGGAAGTCCAATCCCCTGGAACTGGAGTAATGGGTGATATGAGCCACCTCGTGAAGGCTGGGAACCAAACCCAGTCCTCTGCAAGAGCAACGAGTGCTCTTAACCACTGAGGCATTCTCCACCCACATGGACGTTCCAAGACAATGTTCTGGAGAAAATGCAGAGTAAGGGGATGCGTTAAAAGCAGGTTAGACCTGTTGGAGGAAAACACTAGAGTGAATCCTGAGGACACCACAACATGAGAACCCCAAAATGAAACAGAGATTTTGTCAGTAAGCGTGAACTTAAACAACCTGTTGTGTGTGTGTTTGTGTGCGTGTGTGTGTGCATAACTGTGTGCAGAGCCTGGGGCTCTTTTTAAATTATTTTTAATATTTAGCGCATTGGCATTTTGCCTGCACGTATGTGTGTGTGAGGGTGTTGGATCCCCTGGAACTAGAGTTTTATTTATGAGCTGCCGTGGGGGTGCTAGAAATCGAACCCAGGTCCACTCGAAGAAGAGCCAATGCTCTTAACCACTGAGCCACCTCCCCAGCCCCAAGACTGGAGCTCTTATGCACACTTGTAAGAATGTAAAAATATGCCACTGCAGGTTATGAGGCTTTCTCAAAAAGTTAAAAATAGAAGTATAATAAAATCCACAATCCTCCATATTTATGCAGAAAAATCGAAACTACAATCTCAAAGATTTATTTCAACTCCTGTGTTTGTTACAGCATTAATTGTAATAGCCAAGACATGAAAACAACACACTTAGCCCGTTGGTGTATAAGTAGATAAAGAAAATGTGGTATAAACATACCACATAAAACAAGGAAATCTTGCCTGTTATAAGAACCTGGGGATACGCTAAGTGAAATGAATGAGCTAGTTACAAAAGGACAAACACCATATATATGGTTCTGTGAAACGGTCCACACAGGAGCAGAGTTCTACCTTGCTGAAGGCAGGATAATGAGAAGTGAGCCGCTATAGGGGGTAACATTTCAGCTAGCCAAAATAAACAGGTCCTGAGATCTACTGAACAAATGTGTGTTGATAGCAAACACTGGCCGGATTGTATGCTCAGGGTTTGTTAACAGGGTGAATTTTGTGTTCAGTGTTTTTATATGTTTTAAGTGCTATGAAAAATAAACGAGAGAAAAGTTAAACCAAAACTAAGGAGGACAAAGGAAATAATAATAAACACAGCAAAAATTTTATGAAATGAACAAAAACTGAAAATATAAAAATAAAAAGATGGTTCTTCGATCAGACCAATATGGTTTAATAAAATAAATGAGCTGGTAAGGGTAAGGAAAATTAGCTGCGTCAAAAACAAGAGGGAAGATGTATGCATGGAGCCCCAAAAGCTTTATGGCTGCACATGGGGAGCCCGCTGTGTCAGCCTTCTGACTTTGCTATTGTCTGAAGTTGTTTTGGTGATTCTGGACTCTCTGCATCTGTGTGTATGGTGGCCCGGAGCCAGATTCAACTATTCAGAAACAGGCTACCTTCTTTGTGATGCAAACAGACTACCAGGCTCTTGGTATGACTTTCATGACCGAAACCCATCTATGTGACAGGTCTCAAGGGAAGATGCTGAAGCTGACATTCCCACCGCAGTGGGACATTCCCTGGCCGCTGCAGCGCCTTGTCTGTGCTCACGGGCTCCCTGTTCCCAACCCAGCTGCTCGCTCCAGAGGCCTTCCTCAGCACCTCTGTCTCCTTTCTCTGGGAGAAAACCCAAGTCCGAAGACATTTTTCTCCACACTAACTTAGCTCCCAACACCCACTGTCAGCCCTTTCTTTTCTCCAGCTCTATAATGTATCCTATTGGGGTACCCTGGCCCTGAGGCCATTCTCCACACTGGCCTTGATCTACCTGACTCACACTCAGAACTGTTCTTTGAGGGGAATGAGCAGGCTGATGGGGAGGCACCCTTCCTTTCTAGCTTACTCTGGTCTCACACTGCCCTGGTAAATCGCTTTCACCTCAGTGTGTTGCCTTAACCAACCAGCCACTCTGCTATCAGGCTATCTTGGCTCTTGACATCATGAACTACACAATCACATGTCAACTTCTCAGAGGGAAAAGGCTTCTGGGATTGTGATTAGGATCTCAAATTGGATCCATGCATCAGTTTGGCTGAGCCTGACATGAAACAGTCGTGGATTAATCAATAACATGGTCCTTTTAAATTTCGCTCAGGAACGTTGGCGCAGTCTGCCTCGATGTGATGTTTGTTGTCAGGCTACAGGTGTGGCACAGCCTTTGTCGGCTATTTCTTCTTGAGACTAAGGACATGTGCCACCGTGATCAGCTAAGCTTCACCTACAAGGAACTGAGCTAGGGGCTGCTGTGTGCTAAGCCGGCACTCTCCCATCGGGCCACGCTCCAAGCCTGAGTCACATGTTTTCAGTGCTAGAGTAGAGCAAGTGCTGTTGTTTAATTGTGCTCTCTGGCTGATGTCTGATAGATAAAAATGACTGGTTGTTGTATATTGATCTTTTATCCTAAACACTGGTAAAGTCGTAGTAGTTTGTAAATAAGGACAGTCTTGTTTCCTTACTTAAATATGAATAACCTTTTTCCTTAGTCTTTTCACATTGGCTAAACTTCCAATGACATGTTGGGCGGTCGAGTCAACATCCTATGTGCTCTGAATCTAAAGACAGAAGCGCT